CAGACAGGGTCGTCCCAATATGCGTTTTTGCAATTTGCATATAGGCAAAAACGCATAAAAACGGAGAAGTTGCCAACTACTTCTGTAACGAAAAAGGGGTATTTGTGTAAATACTCATAATATATGCATGTGGTGCCGGCTAATTTTCAGTGATGGTATAACTAATACATCTATGAGTTTTTGATTTTGTACCAAAAAGAAAACATACCACGCTGTTGTTGTTGTTCTTGGCACTCCTTAAAACAACTCATTTTCTCAACAAGTGGTGGACATTCCTTCCCTCCACGTTCCGCTTTTCTTAATATCGTCCGTTTTCGAGTCCTGATCCCAATTCCACAAGCTTCGCGATCCGGAAGGCAAGACGACCACATCGACCATTCCGTTACGAAGCAATCAGAAGCTGCAGTTTTTTAGCACATTTAAGGTGAATTTAATAAAAATCTGTGATTTCCTAGTCTTAAAGACATATATTCATTTTGACTATGTGTAACGATTCCTCTTAATTCAGCGATACAAAAAAGCTATCGCAATAATAGCAGCATCCAGAATAGATCCAGGAACCAACTGTTTCCGCCAAATTTCCCTTGATTTTCAGGATTATTGCAGAAAACCGTATAGTGTTGATGCTCGGATGCTTGCTTCAACTGTGATTCATGCTTCTTTACTATTCCAGTTGCTTTGGCCATTGTCTAGTGGACATTCTTTTAGCTGTAGAGACATTCATTTTGTTTAAATTTACAGTATGAATGAAAAAAATACTAACGTGGACACACGAAAGTGTAATCGGTGCAACAGTCACCGAATGCAATACATTTTTCGTCACAAAAGCATATACTGTCGTGAGCGCCATTCTTTTCCAGGAATGCTATTTTTGAGCCACCATATCCACGTAATTTTTTGCCCTCTCGTGAATCTTTGATAATTAGTGGAATGAGCTGATTTAGCACCGAATACCTGCAGTAAAAATGCCAGAGTTTTACATTGTCTTGATAGCTTCTAATGCGCGAAATCTAATGGTCAGCATTGAAAATGTGAATTTTTTAGTTGTACCGCACCAGAATTCTAGCAAAATACCCATCTAAACTGGCAGGAATGATTTCAAATCAATTTTTTTGATCTATTTTCCACATTATCCGAAAACTGCTTCGATATCGAGAGCTAATTCCCAGGATGCTTCAGTCCTTCGGTTTGAAATCCCAGCTCCGAATTTTCCATGTTATCGAGATGCACTCACATTTCGACGGCCAGCGACCGCAAGCCTTTCGATCTTGAGAGCCACAATTTGCGAGCATCAATAACCGATTTGCAAAACCCCTTGACAAACAACAACCAAAGAACAAGCTGGATTCCGAAGTAAATACAGGACAATGACTTTCTCTTAGCATTACCAACCGGAGATACCCACACCGACTGTCCGGGCAACGCTGTTATTGCCTAGGGTTTGTTAACGTAAAGGTTTAATTACCCAGTTTTGAGAGACTGTTTAGGTACTGAAATATTTTTACTATTTTGAAATATACTAAGATATTTTTACTATTTTGGAAACATTGAACTGGCGTTTAGCACTGGAGCCTCAGCCAAATATATTTCAAGAAAAATTTAAGACAAAAAGCTAAATCAAATCGTAAATCAATTGTTGTTGCACAGTGAGTGGTTCAAACCGAATAAGCTTGTGATGACGATAGTAACGTGTAATTTCCGGTTCGCTGCTGTGAAATGCTTCGCCAAAGATAAGCTGACGGTAGGCAGTTGTTGGCACCGTTGTACTACTACTGCTGTTTGTCAGCTGTACCGCTTGCAGCGGTTCTCCTCGATCACTCAAGTAATTCGAGGATAATTTGTCGCCTGAAATTACCAAAAATTCATGAAACTGATGTGCACCACGGAGCCGATGAGATAACGAACTTTGGCGGCAAAGTACTGTGGACAAACACAAAAAGATACAAAATTTCGTCGTAATGATTTTTTATGTCAGTCTGCTCTGTGAAAAACGTCACACTTCAGATTTAATTTCTGTCTCATTTCTAAATTACATTTTAGCACTGGTCAGTAGTATATGGTAGACTTTTTTGGAACTTTTGGTGAGCATAAAGAGGGCATTTTAGGCGTTTGTGTGCTCTGTAAAATTGTGGAAATGAGAGGCCCGAAACTAAGAAGAATGGAGAAGTTACCAGTAGCATCATTGACTCGCTCTTCCGAGAATAAACAGTTTGTTGGCGGTCTTGTTTCTTTATCATAAATCAGTAGTAATTACCGAAAGCAAAACTATTCAGGCTACTGCCCCTCGTAAAAAGCAAATATGGAGAAGGCTTTAACTTCTGAATTGACGAAAGGAAGGCAGTTATAGCCCGAGGGGAAGAAGCAGTAGTATTAGGTGAAACTGAGAAAAGCTTGAGCATAGGCCATTACGAAAACGAAAACAAATTTGTACTGGCTTCCAGTACCATAGTAAAAGTTCAAAAAAGTTTTTATTACTACTAT